ATGTTCATGCTCATTAGAATACAAACCATTTAAACTTACTTAGTAAACATCTGAGAATTCAAGGCAACAAGAAAATCTAGTACCAAAATGTAGAACTAAGCCTTACTTTAACTGATCTCAAGAAACAAAGTGATATACTTTCATCCTTGGGCACCTTGAAGAATAAGATTTTATACCAAATGGTTACATTCGCCTTAGCAGAAGCTGACTTTAGGTACAATTCAGAACTAAAACGTATACTCTAGCTGGCACTGTAATAACAGCTTGTCTCTCTCTCAGCCTAGAAATCTACAGAAAGTCGGCCTTCAGAAACTACAGAAGCCATCCAGCAAGTAGACAAGATTCCTTCTTTCCCTGGATTTTTACTATTTCCTAAAAAATGAATAAAAGGAAACAATCCAAAAGTAATTTTGACACGGACTGCATTGTTGGGCTTCATGTAAAGACAAAGGCCTACATTCAAGACAAAATGAATTCTCCCAAGACTGAGGGCAGGGCTCGGAAAAAACTATCACCACTATGGAATCTTCTTTGGAAAAAATGGCCACAGGGGTTAAGACTCACAATGTACACCTGAAGGGCATGGAATTCCTTGCCATTACTCAGCTTTTTATTCTGATGACTAACACTCTCGTTAACTTGTCAAGGTCTGGCCAAACGGCAATCCAGCAATCGTTACTAAACGGTAGATACAATCCATTTCAACTCCAGAGTTCTTCCTCCCTGCCATCAGGAGCTCAGGACGACTGACATCATGGAGGGCTGTGTTTGGCTCTTCTCCTTCCAGGTTCACAGCTCAATGGGATTCTCCTTCCTTAAGCACTCTGATTCTCCCCAAGTCTTCCTCCACAGACATTTCATTATTCTCAAAAGAAATGCAAACAGCATTCCTCACACAGGGATGACATCTCAAAACCAGAAGAAGCTCATGGCTTTTTTATTACTTGAGACATCTAGCACTGTTGTCTGATGCTGGAAATGTTCTGTGTCTACGCTATCCAATATGGAAGCCAAGAGCTCCATGGTTCATGGCCACAGTTCATGACATGAGAAATTAATTACTTAATTTTGATGATTTTCAATTTACCTAGCTTTGTGTGTGACTAGTGTCAACACAGAAATATCAAGGCTTCGTGGAAAACGAGAAGGTGTCCCATACTCAATAATAAAAAAAAAAAAAAAAAAAAAACTACAAAACCGACAAAGCCTGGGTTGACCTAGTGAACATTTATCACTGTGGGTTCATTTTTAAGCAGACAGAAAGTGGCGAGACAATTTTGTACATCCCCTGGCGCTCTCTGTGACTGGCACTAACCCTCCCCAAGATTCCCCTCCAGGACAATGTGCAATTCATTTGCTTTTAGTCTGTAATTGGTCTGGTGTACACAGAGCAGAAAGGATGAAACATTTAACAAAATTAAGTGTGGTTTGGTTTCAAATATTAATCTTTTGACTTTTCGTTTATGGCAACAGAAGCCTCCAGGACAAAAGTTGTTCAGCTGGGCCCACATTCTGCCTCTGCCCCAAGTCAAGTCCGCCCTCATGCAAATCTCACAGGACTTCAAAGGGAGCACTTCTTAGGTCACTGCTGGCTGTGAGGAGGGAGAAAAGAATGCACGTCTACGGAAGGAGGAAAGATTTCAGGGAAGCAACAAGAGTACAGAGCCAAAGGACCTGGAGAACATGGAACCCTAGAAAGAAGAGAAGCTTCCCACTTGGGATTGGGGGGGAGGGATGTGGAAGGTTGGGGGAGGACAGTGGAACACAGGAACACAGACGCATTGCTAAGAAACGATTGTGGGGATGGTGATGGATTATCTCCAGGCTCCTCCTACCAAACAGCACCTTCGAGGGTCGTCTTGCCCTCTGGTACCACCAAACCAATCACAGATGATGATACTGAACACAGCACAAATGTGAGGAGCTGATGGGGCACCCAGGAGGCTAAAAGGCAAACAGGGGCCACACAAAAATCAAAAAGGAGACAAGAAAAGGACGCAACATAAAGATAAGCATTATAAAGACACTTTCTGCTGAAAATAAAAAGAAGACATGGTCATCCGAAAATAATCCACCGAGATTGAAGGCGTTGCTTACCCCTTTCTGGAGTCCCCCCAGTGGGACTGCTGAAAGTTTCTGCAGCAGAAAAACAGAAGAGAAAAGGGATTTCTAACCTCCTGGTTCAAGCAAAAGGGATTTAAGCCATCCTAGGCTAGGTCATAAGCTAACGCAAAAACCCCAAGTGTTTATGAAGTCCCTAAGTAAAATTTTGGTGGATCTACAACCTAACAGCTTCTTCCCTTTGAATTCACTCAGGAAAAGACAAAGTCAATAACTTGGGAAAAAGGAAGAAGAAAATTGGGGGTCTGTTTAATACTAACAGAAAAAAAGCAAGAAATAACATCTCTGTGGTTCCCGGACCCTCCTGGACATGTTTTTATCTTTAGTGCTAATTCCTACCTGGCCAGGTCAACTGAAATTTCTTTCTGCATTTAGTGTAAATAATGTAGTAATGAAAAATGGTAATGCTGGCAACCCTAGGTGTCCCCAGATCTTTTTCTTTTATATCAAGGCAGAGACTTTTTGATGGTCTCTCACATGGAAAAACTCACAAATACAGTCTCTTTGATGAAGGTTCAAATGTCTTGGATTTCGTGGCCAAATATTCCGTCTGTTGAGTGAAAAATCTTTTGGACCTCAGATTCAGGGGCCTGTTTCAAATTTGGACCTGTTTGAAACTCTAACCTGTTTACCCTCTGACTTTGTCTTCGATGTCTCTCTTTTTCGCCTCTGGTGCTAGCAAGATATTCTTATCAAAATAAAAGTGTTTGAGTTTTTCAAACAGAGGGGAAACGGTCTCTGACTGGCACGTGCTAAGCTTTGTCACTGCTGAATGGACACAAACTGCTAAAGATGAAAAGCCAGCTCATTTAGGAAGTCAATACCTAAAGAAAATACGTACATTCAGCAGTTGTAATTCTCCCCATGTATAAGAGAAAAGGCTCCAAATTTCAGGACCATCGTATAGAAATCTGATGCCTCAATTTAGTTCTGGATATTTCTCCTATTTAGCAATTCACTCATGTGGTTAAGTATTATGGAGAATGTCTTTTGCTTCCAGACTTGGTAGTTCCGAGACAGCATTCTAGGGTCTAGAACAGAAAAGAGCTCTTCCAGTCCTACACACTAAAAGCAAATTGGATACGTAGAGAGAAACAAGTGCATGGGGAGTGGGTATCTCCCACTCTTTGCCCCTTACCTCCAATAATCAATTTGAATACGATGGGAGTAATTCAAGCATCTCCCCAACACGACTAACAAGCAATGTACCTTACTACTTTGCCTATAAAGGGCCTAATTTCTTGAAGTCATAAATCTTGAATTCAACTGATCCATGAATGACGGTGACCACTTTTTAAGTGTTGAGCAACAAAGCTCAGGGAAGGGAGAAGTACAAACCCACCTCTTGAGTTATTAGATCCCACTCTGCCCTTCTACCTGGGCACCAAGCGCCCACCACTGTACCTTATCTGGGAAGGCTGGCCACACCACACTTGGGGATCTGAGTCAAATAAGCCCATGAGGATCTCGCACAGGATGGAAATCTCACGCTGTTCAGACTTTTGCCAATAATTCTAAATTAGCTTAGAATCTGCACTGACCAGTGTTATCGAGATACAAAATGCATTTTGTATAGGTAAGTTTTCTCCATCTGTCAGGTATTTTTTCTGGCAGTTTATACAGATGCTTTGCAAATGATGATACTATTATTTGATGGGACAGACTTCCTAGGGACTTGAGCCATAATACACATACGGTTTTCTAAGTGTAATTGGGGTTGGACAAAATAGTCTGTTTCAGTATCTATTTACTGCGACCTATTCTCATTGTTTTATGTGATATTCAGCATGAAATCGTATCATACTCAAAGCTAAGCTTTGGATTCCAGTATCCAGAAACTTCCAACCATCATTTCATTTCACTTTGCATGTTCAGTTTTTATGACAACAATGCACCTGTGCAAACAGCAGATCCAAACACATCTGGATGCACTCGATTAAAATGTTGATGATCACACAAATTAATGCATCTTTTAATATTTAAAAAACTATGAAAATGCATGGCAAACTTTAGATAGATAGATCTTAAAGCTCTATGTACACCTGCAGGAGAAAGGAACTTTCAAAGAAAACACTTTCTGAGTGAGGAAAACATTTTCAAAACTTTCCTAACTTCTGTAAAGCCAAAAAGTACTAAGATGTTTGGATCTGGTGATATTTTTACTAGAGCCTCTCCTGTCAGAAGTAAAAGATTATAAAGACCCAGCTGCTTGGGGCACCTGGATGGCTCAGTCGATTAAGCGTCTGCCCTCAGCTCAGGTCACAATCTCAGGGTCCAGGGAATTGAGTCCCAGATCTGGCTCTCCGCTCAGTGGGGAGCTGGGGAGCCTGCTTCTCCCTCTCCCTCTGCCTGCCGATCCCCCTGCTTGTGAATTCTCTCTCAGTCAAATAAATAAAAATCCTAAAAAAAAAAAAAAAAAAAAGACCCAGCTGCCTTAAACACCCATCATGCAACCATTTCAACATTAATTACAGCAATGCTCTGATGCTTAAGCAAGTGGTTTCTAGAATGGCATAAATTAAAACATACACACATATAAATGTATGTGCTTATGTACACTAAAAGGGATTCTTTTTATTATTTTAGAAGAGCTCCATCCCCTCTCTGCAACCCCTCCACTCTCTGTGTCCCTGCTGAGTTTTCTATGATGCTGTTATACTCTGCATGGCTGGGAGGGGATAGCCCGGCGTAGAAAATAAGGCAGAGAGTATAAGTGACTTAAATGAATCAGTGGCCCAATTAAGAAAATAATTCAGAAGACCTGCCTCTGAGTCTCCCATCCTCCTTCCAAAAAATCCTTTCCAGCGTTTCTATTCGAAGTGCGTTTTCAAGGCTATTCTTGGATATTTGGGGTTTAATCAAATTTTTCACAGGACATGAAGGAGAGAGAGAGAAAACACACTCCTTTCTTATTGAATTATTTTGATTTTTGTCTTTTGCGCTCCCAGCTATCCAGACTGTCGAATAAACCAGTTCTGATTCATAAATAATAGTTCCATTATATCTACTGTGCCACTCGTCAGAGCACCTGAAATTTTAATTCACTTGTTCAGCTAAATTTCATCCTCAGTTCATGGCCATAAAATTCTTTATTGACAAACTTTCAAACCAACTTTGACTCTGAGGTATCTAGTCAACATTTTTCTTCTGTGTGGATATTAGTTTATTGAATAAGTGGCATCTGTTTTCCTCCACATCACTGGCCGAGTAGGTATTTCCTTTTGACAGCTTTGCAGGATTTATGGCTTTGCATGCTCTGAAGAAAAATAGTACTAAGCAAAAAATTCCAATTCATTACCTCTTAGTACTTAATTAAGTTCATACCCACGGCACACTGGAGGTGAACCCTGAAATGCCCGTGACAGCAAGCAGAGCAGCCAGCTATATTATCTTAGGAAGACAGAGAGGATTCTGATGAGCTTGACCTCATTTTTCCAGCTATGATATTCAGGCGTGCGCCATCTACTTTGCTCCCCGTTGGACGTGGGCAGAACAGTGTGGACACCAAGAGCAGAGTCCTCCCCATAACCCACAGCTCGTCTCGACAATAAAGTCCAGCAGGGGCCCCACCATTCATCTGTGCCCTTCCAGAATGCGCACACCTCCCATCACAGGGTTCTCACCTACCCAGCCCCTCCATAGCCCCACGCAGGCACAGTGTGGCCAGAGGAGGCACCCGGAGCCCGGCGGGCAGAAGACAAACCATGGGGTCGCCCTGTGTGGGGAGCAGCGAGCGTTGGAGTTACCTGTCGGGGTTCTGCGTGCACACGTGCATCTGTAGGAGGATCCGCTGCGTGAAAGTCTTAAAGCACTGGCCGCATTTCCAGAGATGCCAGTCGCTGAACTCTGAGTGGAGCTGGCTGGTGGAAGTCGGGCTCGCGAGCACTCGCTGGTTTTTCACGTTGATCTGGTTAAATCCTGATTCCATGGGCCCGGACTTGTCCAGGAGAGAGAAGTTCCTGGTGCAGGGAGTCTGTGGGAAGACCACGGAGCGCTGCTGGGTGGAGGGGGGCAGCTTGCCGCTCTTGCTGAATGGCTGCAGGACGTCCTGTCTGCACATGGCCTCCATGACCGTCGAGGGCACGTTTACTGGGAGAACAGCAAGAGGGTGACAAGATCAGTTTTGCTGGCCTTGAAAATAAACACAATAACACACACTTAAAAAAAAAAACATTCCTACAGATCAAGATTTTAAAATTTTTTCTGGACTCCAAAGTAACACAGGAACAGACTCTTTGCCTCAGGGGGGTGGGGGAAGTAGGCTTGCTGCAAAGTCCTAGCTCCCTCAATGCCTACTAATTTAGCAAATACTATACGTTCAGGATGGTTGGCACGCTGTCTTTGCCTCACAGAGTTCACTTACGGGTGGAGGCATAAAGACTACAGGATGAGACTCCACACTGCCTCTGGGTTTAGAGGGCGTTCGGAAGGAAAAAACAGCAAAGCAGGGGGGGAGAGAAAGGGTGGCTGCCCATAGAGGGTAAACGTGAGCAATGCTGAGAAGGTAGAGATCCAGGCCCTCGGGATTTCAGGCCTTCCACTGGACCTTGCCAGGACAGAACATTCCAGAAGCACAGGGTGAAAGATGAAGGCAGCAATGTGAAAGACACCTGGAGACAGAAGTCTGGCACCTTGGTGGGATGGTGATGGAGACAGGCTGACCAAGCAGGAATGGGTTCTCAACACCGTGGGAATAAGGGGTATAAGAGGGAGTAGATCTCGGAGGCTCCTTAAAGTCCAAATAAATAAAAGACGTCAGACCTAGGAAACAGACACACAGTGTTTCTGTACAGAAAGTGCAAGAAAAAAAAAAAAGCAAGGAAAGTGTTCAGCGTGGGTTTGAGTCAGGTGTGATCTACAGACAGGGTGCAGCGACTAAGGTAAGAGTGGGGGTGGGGCAACAGAGTAGGGTGCCGGCAACTCGGGTTTTGGAATCAGAAAGACCAGGGTTCAACTCTTAACTCTGCCTTCTGTTAGCTTGGTGATCTTAGGTAAGTTATTAAAAAAAACCCACAAAACTCCCCATGCCTCAGTTTCCCCATCTGTAAAAGGAGGCCAGTGGGAGTAAGAATCCTAGTAGAAGTAACAGGAGCATGGCGAAGTGGTTGAGATGTCCCCTATCTTAACTCCACTACCTATATCAGCCTTGGGACGGCTGGCAAGTCTGAAAGTCAAAATCCCCAATTTTGTCCTTGGTGAAACGTAAAATGGGTCACCCTGAGGATTAAGTCAATGCATTAGACAGTATTTAGAAAATGCCATGGTTGCCACGCCACAGATGTGGTGCCCTAGGAGTGCAGGGTTCATCCTGAAACCTCCTGTTAGGACATGTAAATGAGACAAAGAAAGCATCCCTCATAAGGCCTCCCATCAATGGTAGCCACCATTCCCACCACTGTAGAGAAGAGACTGGAAGGAGGGAAGATGGATGTGGACTGCAATGGTGGGGAAAGAACTAGAAGTAAGAAACACTTCTGAGGAAGGGAGACTAAGAGAGGTGAAATCGGTTTCTTTCTTTAAGTTGTTATGATACTAATCATCTGTCTCATGCACTTGCTGGTCAACTCACATGGGCAGAAGGGATCAGAACCTAACACACTTCGAAACTACGGTTCTTGTTTTAAGTAACTACTGCATAGATAACATGCATTTATTGGTTATTTCAGGGGTCAAAGAGATGAAAGGTTACAGGGTGGGCAAGAGAAGAAAATCAAAGACCAAAAAATTGGAAGAGGTTAAAGGGCAAAAAGACAGGGGGTGGGAAGGAAACCATGGCTCTGGACCACTGGTTCAAGGTCACATGGAAGAATACAGATGACCTGGGGGCTTCTGTCCTTCCCTGCCACAGACCATCACAGAGATGCCTATGTAGCATGCAAACTCAAGCGAGTTCAACAGCAAAGAGTGAATGGTGGTGGACAGTGACCACCAGGAGGCTCCGTGTTTGGGTGGACAGGGAGGTGCCATTCTCAGTGGAGAGCAAGTGGATACTGTGTTGCCATTAAGGACTCTCCAACCCAGAGAATGTTCTGTAGAATTTTGATACAGCTATGCAGCTGTATCAGCTATGATACAATGATACAATGATACAGCTATGATACAAATCCACCAAAAGGAACAGCTCTGTTTATGGGGCCCTGGCAGCATGGCCCATCCTGTCTTGGGAAGGGAAAAGAAAGCAAGAGACTGGCAGACCTGGGGAGACCCTAGGGTCTGTGCAGCGGAATGCACATTTATACTCGCAGGAGAGGCTCTTAAAAAAATTAAATCAGGGCTGCCTGGGTGGCTCAGTGGTTAGATGTCTGCCTTTGGCTCAGGTCATGATCCCAGAGTGCTGGGATGGAGCCCTGCATCAGGCTCCCTGCTCAGCAAGGAGTCTGTTTCTCCCTCTCCCACTCCCCCTTCTTGTATTCCCTCTCTCTCTCTGTCTCTCTCCCTCTGTCAAAAATCAATCAACCAATCAATCAATCGGACTCTCTTGATAGGACCTGGACATCTGAACTTTTAGAAACTCCCCCAAGTGCTTCTCATGGACCATCAGGTTTGAGAATCACGGATCTAAACCAACCCTCTCTTCTTATGAATCAAAAAAGCTGAAGCCCCAGAAGGTCCAATATTGGCACCTGCCCAGGGTCACACAGGCAGTTAAAGACAGCTGAGCTGGAAGCTTTAGCCTTCTAACTTACAAGGCATTTTTTTTTCTTGCCACACTTGAATCTTGTCACTGCTCACCAGCTGTTTTTCAAAAATAAAAGGAACGTTTTATGGCTAGTACAGGGTTTTCTGTGTGTGTGTGTGTGTGTGTGTAACTATATCCTATAAACATGTATGTCATATACACATACATGCTATATATACACCTTTACACACCCATGTACACGTTCATGTGTGTCTATCTTTATCTTATAGGTAAATATTTATGTGTAATTTTGACCTCTGAGGCAAAAGTGTATAATCAATATGAAATCTGTCCACACATTTTAGGCTTCCAAAAATAAAAAAACATTGCACACAGGCTACTACTCTCGAAATCGGCACTGAAAGGTAAGGAGGGATATTTGACACAGGGGCTTAGTCCTTTTCTAGCAAAAAGTAACAGCAGCATCATCAGATATCAGGGCAGAACCCGTTTTGTGTCGCCTGTTTATAACTAAGCCAGAAGCGACAAATTACAGGGGAACCCACACATTTTCAGGCAACTCGAAGTTCTTGCAGGGTGGTAAGCACCAGACCAACAGGAAGGCATGGTGGAAAGATCGTCAAATGAGGATACCACCAGCACGCACGAGAGCAGGGTCACCAGCCAGAAGCTTCGCCGTGGGAAGAGGAATATAATGCCTTTGGGGGAAATTAAAGCAAAGGCGACTTTACGTACAGATTGTAAATTCTGACTTCTCACCTCTCCTGAAAAATAACCTAATAAATTAATTTTCAAAAATGGTTAAGTTCACATCCCCTTTATACGAAGCATGAGAATTGGTGGGCAAATGAATTTAACTTTAATGATCAATGTCAACATGGTAATAAAGAAGAATTTACACCAGTTTGTATAATAATCTGGGATATATGGGATCCGAGGTAGTAATAGTATCAGGCAATAATGGTGCAGATGGCTGGAATTAAATTATGCCCTGTCTCGTTATTGCCTTCTCTGTGATGCCTGAGAGCAGAGGTAATACGCTTTTAAACTGTAAGTAGCAACAATGAGACACTACTCCCCTTTTGGTATACACTCCTCTACTCTAAGTATGACTCAATTAAATCCTGCTGAATGAAATGAGCATGTAATGCAGAGAGAAGAAAAAGTAAGGACGGGAACAATAGCAATGAATCTGAGCTCTAAACTGTCCTGCAGAGCCTCCACACATTTCCATAGGACCCTAGAAATCGAGGGAGGATAGCTTTTCAATTTTTATTTATTTTTAAAAAGATTTTATTTATTTATTTGACAGAGAAAGAGAGAGAACACAAACAGGGGAAGCAGCAGGCAGAGAAGGAGAAGCAGGCTCCCCACTGAGCAGTGAGCCCAATTCGGGACTGGATCCCAGGACCCTGGCATCATGACCTCAGCCAAAGGCAGATGCTTAACTGACTGATCCATCCAGGCGCCCCAGGTGCACCGAAGCATAGCTTTTTAAAGCAGGACTTAAAGGACACTGAAAGCTGTTCTTCCTGAAAGGCAGCCTCGCTGCTGCCTACAACAATTCAAAGTATTAACAAGACACAGGACCTTATCAGAGAGGGGACAGCCTATTCAGACAAATGCAAGACGCCCAGAGATGACTAACCAAAGTGACCTGACAATGAAGTGCTTTCTACACAAAGACACACCCGGCTAGTACAGTCTCTTCCGCCTACCAAAGATGAGAAAGTAGAGAGCAAACTCTCAAAGTCCTAAAGGATCTAGTGTCAAGGAACAACATGAACTCCTCCAACCCAGGCAAATGAAAAGACTGGGAACGGCAAAGGCAGAATCCCTAAAACCTTCGTCCATTCATTCAGCCCACAAATACCTAGTGAGCGTCTGCTTGGTGCCTAACACCCCTGGTGCTGCGGGGTTCCAGCGATAAGGAAGCCCCAACCCCTGGCCTCAGGCCACTTACACTCCAGTGAGAGAGACAGATATCAAACAAGTCTTTACAAACAAGTACTTACTCTGTTTCATCAAATCTAAAATGCCATTAATTGCAGGTTGCTCTGTGAACTATCACCATTCATTGCAAGGCATCTCCCAGGTTCAGAAAGAACAAAATGGGAACAACGTATATGTGTTGCCACAAGCATGATACATGTTATGAGAGATGCAAAGAGGTACCTAGAAAGCGTATTACTTCTGTGGCTACAACTGCAGTGTGAGGGGCAGCTTCCCTAAGGCAGTGACCTTGAATGTGAGTCCTATAGTGCGGGCAGGTATCAGGTGGGAAGGAGAAAAAAAGACAATGCAAGGAGATGAAATGTGGGCAGCTTGGCCATAGTGTCTGTGTGGATGCTGAGCGGGGAAGGAGCTCAAGAGAGGACGTAGGGTCTGTAACAAACTGAATGGGGCATGGCCAGTCCAACAACACTCAAATTCTCATTCTGCCAAGCAT